ACAGATCCTCACTGTTCCTTGCATCACACAGTCCAGTCGAGTTGACCACAGTCAGAAAGGTGATCGGTGATAGTAGGTGGCAACCTTGTCTTACTCCTTCTTGTCTTCACTTCAAAGGCTTCACTGAGGTGCTTACCATTGTGAATCACTTGGTATGTAGCATCATAATCATCATAACCATCATCATCATCACCATCATCATCATCATCTTCATCGTTATGATCATCATATAGCTTGTAGCTGGTGTTGAATGAGGTTGTGGTTTGTGGCACTAATAGTGTAGTGTTGAAGCAGCTGCCTGCCAAATTACTTGTCCGAAAGCAATGTGGAGATGTGCTACAATGCACTCAGCTATAAAGCGTTAACAAAATCGAAATTTTCAACACAAATGTCAGTGAAGTAAGTCAGTGCTTCTATGTGATGATTGAGAGACTTAGCACGTGACGAAAAGCATTTCCAACAAAATAGAGATATTGATCAACACCTGCCTACGCTGGGTGGATACTGAAGATTAGATGGCCAGAATAAGAAGAATAAAAGATGATGAAGTAAAATGAAATGCAATGAAATTCACAAAATCAACAAAAATCAAATCGACTTTATCTCAATCTCAAGAAAATGGAGGCGCAGTCTACTTGACACAAGGGCAAGAAGAGAAGCAGATGTAGGTTCAGACCACTATCTAGTGCAAGAAACCATCCAATTCAAGTTGAAAGCCTTCAAGGAACCTGGTGGTAGACCTCAGTTCAAGTACAACACTCGGAAACTGAAGGATGAAATTACAAAGGAGATCTTCACGTCAGCAAGTCATCAAGACAAAATGGGAGATATCGAGCAACATCCCTGAAGAAACCTGTGTGGAAGAACACTGGAAGTCTTTGAAAGCTATGTGGAAAGAAACCTGCATAACCAAGCGTTTTAGGAGGAAAGAAAAAGGAAGACAAGAAAAGGAATGGATCCCGATGGACACATGGAAGCTGATAGAAGAGGAAGAGGAAGATGCTGATGGTGAAACAGAAGACAAACCAGTGAAGTGGAGTGCAAGAATGAACAACGAAAACAAGAATTGATTACAAAGTATAAGAAACTACACTGGACAGAGAAGTGAAGAGGAGTGCACAGAAAGACAAAAGACACTTCCACGACACACTGGCAAGTGAAGCACAACAGGCTACAGGTAGGAGAGATGAAGACCTGACAACATTATATCAAATAACCAGGTTACTATATTCGAGAGAAGAGATCAACACAGATGAAACCAATGGAAGACAGTGAAGGGGACATAGTTAACAACGGAGAGGAGAAACAAAGGAAACAATGAGCTGACCACTTCACAATACTCTTGAATCAACCATCACCACCACCTGCAACTCGTCCAGAAATACCACAAGCAACCAAGCCACACAAATACCAGTGAACACAAGCCTTACAACAAAAGCCGACGTCATGAACACCATGCCATAAGGCTACTGAAATGCGGGAAAGCACCAGGATCAGATGGAATCACACAAGAAACACTGAAAACAGACGCGGGGACAAAAGCAAACATGCTCACACCACTATTGCAGATGGTCTGGAAGGAAGCAAACATACCTGCCCATTGATTGGAAGAAGAGGTACCTTGTCAAACTCCCGAAGGAGGGCGACATAAGTCTTTGCAAGAACTGGTGCGGAATCACGCTCCTATCCACCCCAAGCAAAATGTTAAGCCGCATCATCCTGGAGAGACTGAAGGATGTGCTCGATTCAAAACGACGACCAGAACAGGCTGGCTGGATTCAGGAAGTACAAATCATGTGTGGACCAAATGGTGACGCTTCGCTTCATCATAGAACACAGTATAGAATGACAGTCAACTCTACACCTCACCTCAACTTCATCGAATTTGAGAAGGCCTTCGACAGCGTCGATCGACAAGTAGTTTGACAGGCAGCTGCTTCAACACTACGGAGTACCACAAACATTTATCAACCTCATTCAACAACTATATGACGACGCCGCATCCCAAGTGGTTCACAATGGTAAGCAACTCAGTGATGCTTTAAAAGTGAAGACAGGAAGGAGTAAGACAAGGCTACTGCCTACTATCACCGACCATCTTCCTGATTGTAGTTGACTGGATCATGTAGCAAACAGTGAGGAGCTAGAAGAGGAGGATACGCTCGCTGGACCATGGAAAAGATCCTAGAAGATTTGGATTTCGCCAACGATGATTTATGTCTGATGTCACATAAACTTGAAGATGTTCAGGCAAAAACTAACAAGTTGACAGAAGGGGCAGGGCAGGGCAGGACAGCGAAGACGGGTCTTCAAGCGAACGTAGAGAGGACAGAGGTGATGAAAATGCCCAACCAACACCTACAACACCTACAACAACAACAAGCTCCAATCACCATCAACGGGAGAAAGCTAAAAGAAGTAACCTCTTTCACCTACAACTAACTAGACAGCACTGTTTCAACTACAGGTGGCACAGAGGAGGACGTCAAAGTCAGGATTGGGAAAGCGAGACAGGTGTTCATTAACCTGAAACCACCAGTGTGGAGATCTGCTACACTGCACTCAGCATAAAGTGTGAACAACATCTGGATTTTCAACACAAAATCAGTCAAGTCAGTGCTTCTGTATGTCTGAGAGACTTTGCGCTTTATGAAAGGCATTTTGAACAAGCTGCAGACATTCATCAACAACTGCCTACACTGGATCGCTACTGAAGATCAGATGGATTGCCAGAATAATAAGAATAAGCAACAAGGAACTCACTGTGGTGGACAACGAACCAACCAAGAACCTGTCGCTCAACAAATATGCACTGAAGGAAATGGAGATGGATTAGGTATTCACTGAGAAGACCATTCAGGGACATCACGCTTCAGGCCAGGCCGTCGAGTGGAAGCCAGATGGGAAACGACTAGTTGGGTTTCTGAGGGTGACATTGTGGAGATGGTGTGAGGAAGAAATGAGAGCTTGTGGGCTGTCGTGGAGCCAGGTTGAAAAGACTGCAGAGAACAGATTGGTGTAGGGACGTGCTATTGAAGTCCTATGTTCCATTATGAACCCAAGGGACAAATAGTAATAATAATAATAAGAGGAGTTGAGTTCAACTCTGCACTTTCTAGACGTAATGTTAAAAAGAAGAGATGATGGCTCGTTTCAAAGGTCAGTCTATCGAAACCCTCTGCTCTACAGTTGGATAGTTTGACACATCATCTACCCATGATAAAGAAAAATTGTATCCAAAACATTATTCAGTAAGTAATATAGTTCCACTGTATGAAATATTGAATAGATGAAAACAAGCAATAGTATATAAGGTATACGCGTTGCACAAGATTCACGTAGTGTGACTCACTGGTCGAGTGGATAACTAACTCCGTGGCGTCTGAAGTGGTGGGTACGAGGTTCCAGTCTCAGTGGGAACATCACTTATTGGGGTGCAGGTACATCCAGCTGACGACTCTCAAGGAGAGCAAATTTCACTTCTTAATTACATAACTCGCCAGCAATTATTCATGCTGTAGACAGGCATCCTCACCGGAGCCCATCTTCATACGAAAGTTGCCCAATTCGACACAGTATAGCAACAGGAAATTACCAGTATTAACAAATATATTATACAGTGTTGAATAAGTGCCTATCGTTAGAACGTTTGAGTCCGAACCCAGCCCTTCTTTCTAAGATCCGGTTAAGTGGGTACTAACACTAGTCTTTGAATAATCTGTACATTTCTCTGACTGTAAACTAGTGCTTTATGAGTTCTGTACTTCTGTTCAAAACAATGGAAGGTCATTCTAGCCTCAAATGTCTGAATGATTGTTGCTTGACTGACCGCTTGCATCAGTCTTGTAATTTGAATCGATACTAATCAGTTCGGATCAACTCAATACTGCCTGATATTTATGTGCTCAAATGTTCTAACGATAGGCACTTATTCAACACTGTATAATATATTTGTTAATACTTGTAATTTCCTGTTGCTATACTGTGTCGAATCGGGCAACTTTCGCATGAAGATAGGCTCCTGTGAGGATGCCTTTCTACAGCATGAATAATTGCTGGCAAGTTATATAATTAAGAAGTGAAATTTGCTCTCCTTGAGAGTCGTCAGCTGGATGTACCTGCACCCCAATAAGTGATGTTCCCACTGAGACTGGAACCTCGTACCCACCACTTCAGACGCCACGGAGTTAGTTATCCACTCGACCAGTGAGTCACACTACGTGAATCTTGTGCAACGCGTATACCTTATATACTATTGCTTGTTTTCATCTATTCAATATTTCATACAGTGGAACTATATTACTTACTGAATAATGTTTTGGATACAATTTTTCTTTATCATGGGTAGATGATGTGTCAAACTATCCAACTGTAGAGCAGAGGGTTTAAACGCTCACTGAATAGCTGAAATTTACAATATTGTTTAGACATGCTATCACAGATTTAGACAAGTAAATCTGAAAAAAAAACAAATCATGACAGTTAAACATTGATGAAATACGATGATGTGGGTGGTGTATCAGTGACTGATTGTTGACAAGCTGGTAATCAACTCTTTATAGTTGTCTACTTTATTCTTGCACAAAATCGTGGTACTGACTACTTGAAAGTCCCAAACAATGAAAGAACATTAATCCAGTGCTACAAGATTTCCACTGTTTCTCCATATGATGTTAATTCATGATGAAGAAATAACACTTTCTGAACAAGGATACCTTTTTCATTCAAAGATAGACAAGCAGATATACAATCAATGTGTTATAGAGAAACACTGAAATATTGGTGCATACAGTGGAACTTAACGGATTCTCGAAAGAAACCAGCCTCTATTCTCTTATGTATTTTATAATACTAACCATAAATATGCGAAAACATTAATCAATCACTTGATTTTATTGATTTTAGTATAAACTCTATGCTGAAGGTTTGTTTCATTGTCTAAAGGGTGGAGGGAATAAATGGGAACTAGAGATGAAATAAGAAATTTCAACATCTCTTTTATGCATTCATGGTAAGTATATATTTCGAGGAAATCAATAAATGTTTAAAGACAAAGAAGAGTAAAATGATAATATTTTTTCAATGCTTTTTAGAAGAAATTGATCATAGATTAAAGACAGCGTAATGTGGTTTAAGTTTTATAGAGATGTTTTAATATTTAAGGGTTAGGGTTTATCATGGAGTGATATCAATTGGAAAACTATAGAAGACGTTGGAGTACAGGAGATTTGTTTCATGCTAATAGCTCACACATGACCTCTTCAGGGATCGCACTCATAACCTTCACTTTTTGACACTGGATGCGTTAGCCAGTATCAGTCGACAATGGAAAGTAACTTGACAATATGAGTCTTATATACCTCAAATTACACAACTGTATTATACTGATACTTTGAGACTGATATCTTGAAGTTTGCATGAGTAGCCATGACCAGTAGGGTGAAGCGATCTGAAGTGAAGCTGATTCCAAGTGAATATGTTTGTGGATAGACAGGGTATATCGCTAATCGACAGAAGTATTAATCTGTGGTCCATCAAACTGCAACCGATTGGCTGAATATTTAGCGCCTTCTCTGTGAAACCCTAAGGTTGTGAGTTTGATTGGTGAAGGTGTGCTGTGTGTTAACTTCTATGGAGTCTCATAGTAGGAGGAACCAATTTTATTATGGTGCCTCGCTTTTCATAGTCTTTTATGAGATGTAACCCCTTTATTCATAGCCTCTTATATTTGTGATATGTTGTTGTGAAATGAAGCATTATTAACACTGTCTAGTTGAATGTTCACTATGTGAATGTCATTCTGGAAGAGATAGTTATAATGACTGTCAAACTGAAAGATAAACTGAAGTCAACTTTATTCGAAATGTTTTGGCTTTGTATCTTAGATAGCATCTGAATGGTGGAAATTGTTATTGGTGTTTTTAGTTATCGGTTCGCTTTCGTTGAGTATATGTGCAAGGGATATATTTCACTAGGTTTGTTGCATTGTTCGAGAACTGAAAGCCGCCTATTTCTGGCGAATTCTATGAAGGTATACAATTTACTCTTCCTGTAGCTATCACATGTAATCTATTTCGCTGCATAGACGATGGCGACATTAATACACATGTTTGAGACTAATTTTTCCATCTACCTAAAAGTAACAACTGTTATAGGAATTTTTGCATCTAGGATATTAATGACAAGTATTAGCTTGCAGGCAAATCCAGGAAGTGTATTTGTTTCTATGTGGAACTCATCAGCTGAATGGATCTGTCTCCTAGTTAGCGACTCTGTTCGCACTGTCTTGCACCAAGCACCAACTGGTTCAAACGTCACAACGTTATCCAATATGCCACTGAGTCACGACAGCCACTCCTTATGCTACTGGTATAGTGTAGTTTTCATGTTATATCTTGTGAGTCTCCGCCACTGACTGCACACGTATAGGATGAAACCCATGTCCTGGAATCCACCGTTAGCCAATGTTCATTATTCATATCGAAATTGAAAAATACCGGCAACATGGAGGCATCCATACAAGAGCTCATATCCTAATAATTGCAGAATAACTCGCTCCAATCAACGTTATAATTTTGCGACTGTTTTCATAAACTGACCTAACTGTCTGTGTATTCACACAAAAGAAAATCAGCATAGGATAAATACAGTGACTAGTAAATATGGCTTACGTTTATCCGGTATGAAAGATTCTGTTCACAGCTTTGTAAACTGGCCCTTGCTGTCTGACAGTTAACATAATTCGAGTCACAGTAATTCCTTTTTAGTTAGTCTATGACATCTATCACACAATGAAACCACTTTTCTTTTACTGGATAACGTTTCACACACAATTCACTGTGGTCATGTTAAAGTAAATCCACAATTTTCAGAGGTGGCTTATAGGGTTATAATTTTTCTCTTCTCTTAGATATAGGCGACAGAATTTCCCGTACATCCTGAACAGCTTTTGAGTCATCCGTGTTGCATTTGTTCGATACTGATATGATAAAAAAAGGGTTTGGTTATCTGCCTCTACCCAGCTAGGTTACTTTCAAAGATTGTCACTCTATCCTATCTTACTATGGCCTCCTACTCTTGATTTAGCTACGCGTTTCATGTCAGAATTGCAAGAATAACCCTGGCCGTTCGCTGCCACTTATGCATCAGACGCACAATCATTGCAAGGGATTCGATAAACTAAATTATCTTGAGTTGGTATTCATGACACATTAACGTTAGCTGGGGAACATTGAAAACCTAGAAGCACTAATCAGCTGTTCCACCATAGTACAGAACTTCTCAGTAGCGCGCATCTGCTACCCCACCCTCTAGGAAGCGACTCAAGGACATTCATGTTCCGCTGCCAGCACGTCATCACTAAGCTAGTGGGTCAGAACCTAGTGGCTCACATTGTCCTACTTTTGCCACTTCATGATTTAGCTCCACTTTTATCCAATGTCATCAGTGAGTACCTGTCTTCATATCCAACTTCGTTGCCACTACCAGTCGCGCCTTCTCATTCGAACTTCAGAAAATCTCATCTGGAAGTAGACTGTTAGTGAGCATTGGAAAGTAATTAAATTTTGAGGGTTATGTTTCAATGGCAACGTGTCTGTTACAGAAATTGAAGCCCTTGAGTTTCATCCTTAGCGAGATCATGAGCGTGCACTGCTGACGGATCTCACGCCGGTACGAAACAGCTGTCCAGTGCGCCCAGGTTTTCAACGGTTTTCCATATGGTGTCGATTTGTGATGAAAAATAACTTGAAATCAATAAATAAGTCCCCACAAACCTCCAAATTAGATTAATCGAACTTTACTCTCAGTGAACCCCTATGCTTCAATGCCTTCGTAACCGCAGTCTTATTGAGAATCCTAAAGGAAGTTACTCAGTATGAATATGAATGATAAATTATGTTCAAAACGTTATCCAGTAAAGAGTGAGTCACTATGTAATTTATCTTATAAATCAAGCAGAATAAAATCACGATCTACCGCATTATTCAGGTTTTACTCTTAAACTAATTCGCTAATTCAAAGCAAGCTTGCTGCAGTCCATATTCATTCGAAGAACCGACTGAAAACAGCCTTTTTATGGGTTAGGGTTTCCAGCGTAAATCGAAGCTTTCCATTTGTACATACATTGACCCTATCTAGAATAATATATATAGAGGATGATAGGGTTCTACAGTGATTATTGGCAAATCTGAACCACATAGTCAAGGTTTTTTGGATGTAAACTTTTCCACTGTGCTCATTTCTTCATTTGTGTAACCGCATTCTGGAAGTTGTTGCTTAGTACAAGTCTTTGAATGTTGCCGCTGAGCACAACAGTTGAACAACACCTGTTCATCACTTACTGGGGTGCAGATACGTTCAGCTGAAGAGTCCAAAGCAGTACGAAATGCGCTTTTTGTATTCCAATGCTAGCCAACAAAGTGACTAGAAGAGAACAGAAGTGCCACTAGGCAACACAAAATATGATGATTGTGTTCTATCAGTACCTATTGGTTTCCTTTCTCGAATCTCAGTGATACAAAAATCGCAGCTTTTGAATTCTGTTGCATTCTCTTCAGTTGCTTGTATATCATTGTTATTCAATTTATGAGACGAATAACGACTAATATGCTTGAGAATTTAAAATGCATGTTTTAAAAAAAACGCTAATAGGAACGCTTGAACTATAAGCGTAAAATAAAACTATTCATTGTGACAAAGCAATATTTGACGCTTGGACAATGGATGATTCTAGAGTTTATAGAGCGGAAACCAGTCTTAACAAGACAATAAACAGCAAAAGCATAACACAGAAGTAATATTAAGTTAAGTATAAGTCGATGAATGTTAGCCATCATTAGGACACAAAACAATAGAAGGTTGAAAAAAGCAAGTCACTTCAACCGTGAGTTTAGTCACCGCTGAAAATTTAGACAATCTAGTGAGATGCTTCAGTGCTTCCAATGATGGCAATTTCAGGCAACAGAAAAGCAAAGACTAAAGATTTCAAGATTCACAACACAGTAGTTGTAGTTATACTACTACTACTACTACTACTACTACTACTACTACTACTACTACTACTACTACTACTACTACTACTACTACTACTACTACTACTACTACTACTACTACTACTACCACTACTACTACTACTACTACTACTACTACTACTACTACTACTACTACTACTACTACTACTACTACTACACAGCTGATGAGGTCGCCGCCAAACTAGCAATTAAGCCAATAAGATATAACAGGTTGGCCTGAGTGTTGTTTGTTTGTCGAATCGCTGCATGCTTTATTTGTAGTAGTTGTATTCACCAGCTTTGGATATAAGTTCATTTTTTTATAAATTTCCCCCTGTAATTTGTTTTCAATCCCTTTGAAGTCTGGTTTTTTTATTTCATACCTACAACCAGTGTGATTTTCACCTAACTTTATCCTTGCGACCCCACTGAAAAATGTCTGAGTCAGTCAAGATTTCGAAAGCTTAGATTAATCCATACGGGTTCATGAATGAAATGTGGATAATAAAAAAAAATTTTTTTGGCATTAGGATTTGATTCAGCCGTTTTCATTTCAGCTTAAATCTCTCATCACCTATGTTATTAGTAGGAAACTGCTAAACCTCGGTTACTTCAGACACTCCCACCACTAAGAGATCACAACCTACTCCAATTCAGCCTGATTATGATATAATCACGTGTAAAAAAATGGACAAAGAAGTGAAGAAGAGTGCACAGAAAGACAAAAGACACTTCCACGACACACTGGCAAGTGAAGCACAACAGGCTACAGGTAGGAGAGATGAAGACCTGACAACATTATATCAAATAACCAGGTTACTATATTCGAGAGAAGAGATCAACACAGATGAAACCAATGGAAGACAGTGAAGGGGACATAGTTAACAACGGAGAGGAGAAACAAAGGAAACAATGAGCTGACCACTTCACAATACTCTTGAATCAACCATCACCACCACCTGCAACTCGTCCAGAAATACCACAAGCAACCAAGCCACACAAATACCAGTGAACACAAGCCTTACAACAAAAGCCGACGTCATGAACACCATGCCATAAGGCTACTGAAATGCGGGAAAGCACCAGGATCAGATGGAATCACACAAGAAACACTGAAAACAGACGCGGGGACAAAAGCAAACATGCTCACACCACTATTGCAGATGGTCTGGAAGGAAGCAAACATACCTGCCCATTGATTGGAAGAAGAGGTACCTTGTCAAACTCCCGAAGGAGGGCGACATAAGTCTTTGCAAGAACTGGTGCGGAATCACGCTCCTATCCACCCCAAGCAAAATGTTAAGCCGCATCATCCTGGAGAGACTGAAGGATGTGCTCGATTCAAAACGACGACCAGAACAGGCTGGCTGGATTCAGGAAGTACAAATCATGTGTGGACCAAATGGTGACGCTTCGCTTCATCATAGAACACAGTATAGAATGACAGTCAACTCTACACCTCACCTCAACTTCATCGAATTTGAGAAGGCCTTCGACAGCGTCGATCGACAAGTAGTTTGACAGGCAGCTGCTTCAACACTACGGAGTACCACAAACATTTATCAACCTCATTCAACAACTATATGACGACGCCGCATCCCAAGTGGTTCACAATGGTAAGCAACTCAGTGATGCTTTAAAAGTGAAGACAGAAGTGAGACAGTGGCTACTGCCTACTATCACCCATGATCTTCCTGACTGTGGTCGACTGGATCATGCAACAAACAGTGAGGAGCTAGAAGAGGAGGATACGCTCGCTGGACCATGGAAAAGATCCTAGAAGATTTGGATTTCGCCAACGATGATTTATGTCTGATGTCACACAAACTTGAAGATGTTCAGGCAAAAACTAACAAGTTGACAGAAGAGGCAGGGCAGGCCAGGGCAGGGCAAGACAGCGAAGACGGGTCTTCAAGCGAACGTAGAGAAGACAGAGGTGATGAAAATGCCCAACCAACACCTACAACACCTACAACAACAACAAGCTCCAATCACCATCAACGGGAGAAAGCTAAAAGAAGTAACCTCTTTCACCTACAACTAACTAGACAGCACTGTTTCAACTACAGGTGGCACAGAGGAGGACGTCAAAGTCAGGATTGGGAAAGCGAGACAGGTGTTCATTAACCTGAAACCACCAGTGTGGAGATCTGCTACACTGCACTCAGCATAAAGTGTGAACAACATCTGGATTTTCAACACAAAATCAGTCAAGCCAGTGCTTCTGTATGTCTGAGAGACTTTGCGCTTTATGAAAGGCATTTTGAACAAGCTGCAGACATTCATCAACAACTGCCTACACTGGATCGCTACTGAAGATCAGATGGATTGCCAGAATAATAAGAATAAGCAACAAGGAACTCACTGTGGTGGACAACGAACCAACCAAGAACCTATTGCTCAACAAATATGCACTGAAGGAAATGGAGATGGATTGGACATTCACTGAGAAGGCCGACTGGGGACATCACGTGCCACTCCAGGCCCTCGAATGGAGCCCCCACTGGAAGCGACGAGTTGGGCGTCAGAGGCGAGGGTGATACGGAGGAGATCGTGCGAGGAGGAAATGAGAGCTTGTGGGTTGTCGTGAAGCCAGGTTGAGAAGACTGCAGAGAACAGAATTTATTATGGACGTGCTATCGAATCCCTTTGTTCCACTATGAACCCAAGGAACAAATAATAATAATATCCATGGCATCTCCAGGACGCTTGTTATGAACACTTTCAGATACTCCATACAACCACCTTAGAAAGAAATATTTTGACAGACTGGCCAGTTGGACTAGCCATGCCATAAATAAGTTTGCGAAATTTCCATTTAAAGTAAATGATTTTCAATCTCTAACTAACATTTGAATCGTTGAATGAGTAGCTGATATCACGCCTCAGAATGTGGGTGTGAATTTAAAGGTCACTCTGACAACTGCTGAGTTAGCCAATTACATTTTTTTATTTGATGAAAAACTTACTGCTCAGCCAAAATACCAGAACTCGACTGGTTACTTCAGTAGTTGTTACTGTGATCTTTAAAATCATTCAATTCTAGTTTGACCCCTAGGTCGACTTTAAAGACCATCCTTGTAACTCCGAAAATAACCAGTGGGGATTTTGTATTTCTCGTGAGAAGGTAGTCTTTCATGAAATAGTAGGAGTTAAGGGGCCTTTAAAGTCCCGTGACTCCCAAGGCTGCCATAGTTACATTTGGAATAATCAATCAGAGTTGTTTATTTTATAATCTGCCTTTTAGCAGAAGTGAAGAAGCATAATTGGCCAATTAAGTTATTGCCAGGGTGGCCTCTAAGTAAACTCAACGACGGCACTGGATGGAGGCCACGGTAGATCGTGTACTGACAGAAGTAAGAAGTATGGACCATTGGAATCCAACCGAGTGTCTCAACAGTAACGTGCTGGAACCCGAAGGTCCTGGGTTTGATTCGTGGTGAGGTGCGGTCATGTGTCCGTACAGCTAAGGAGTCCCATACTAGGACGAAACAGCTGTCCAGTGCTCCCAGGTTCCAAAAGTTCCTCCAATTAATGTCAGTCTATGATGAATGCCAACCTAAACCAGAATATATGTCAGAAAAGACTTAAGATCCACTAACAAAATGATATCCAGTAAAAACTGTATTCTACCTTACATGTTTTGAATTCATCGGTCTGATATAAGTCACTTTCATAATTACAGGTTTTTTGAGACATCCAACGGAACGTTAGATGTGACTAGGTCACCTTCGTGCTAATTTTCAATTTCACTTACCAGACCAGCATAATCTCAACGCTGGATGACAACTTCTTATCTTTGCACCAATCATTTCACTTATGTACTGAGAAAAATTCAGCTTAAATAGTTAAAGTGTTCAGTTTCTTATCATATGATCACCTGCTAGATAGGTGTACAAAGAATATGTCGGTTGTGTAAGAAACTATTCAAATATCATGAATGTCAAAAGCGAACGATAAATTGCAGGAACGAAGGAGACCTAGGAGCACTGGACAGCTGTTTCGTCCTAGTATGGGACGCCTCAGCAGTGCGCATCCACAATCCGGACAGAGATGGAACCCGCGACTTTCAGGTTCCGTGGTCACCACGTTACCATTGAGCCACTGGGTTAAAATCAAATCGTCCATATTTCCTACTTCTGTTAGCTCACGATATAGTGGAACCGCCACCCAATGTCATCGTTGAGTAACTGTCCTCACGACCATCAGGCTTTGCCTCCACCCGTCACGAACTTCGGGAATACCTCTGGAAGCTAGTAACCAATAAGCACCAGTTCAATTAAATTTTGAAGGAGTTGTGGGGATTTAATGAATAACAACTTGAAATATTTTCAAATCCCCACAACTCCCTCAAAATTCGAAAGATAAGTTGGTAATTATGATATGACCGGTCTTGTGACCTAGCAGTCTATGAGCTTTAGATGAATAAAGTTGACCTTCTACAATATACTGAAACCTTTTAGGCTTCCTTTAACTCGCATGCAGATCACGTGTTGTGTGCAAAATCGGAAAAAGTGCATAAGACAAGGAAACACCGAATATGATTCACAAACAAAATGCGAGATATGCTGTTCGAATGATTCTAGAGGCCTTAATAATCATCTTTTCAATCAAAAGTTAATTTTTACGACAAATATCACTCACTGATATCCGTAGTAGTAGTAGTAGTAGTAGTGGTAATAGTAATAGTAGTAGTAGTAGTAGTGATAGTAGTAGTAGCAGTAGTAGTAGTAGTAGTAATAGTAATAGTAATAGTAGTAGTAGTGGTAATAGTAATAGTAGTAGTAATAGTAGTAGTAGTAATAGTAGTAGTAGTAATAGTAGTAGTAATAGTAGTAGTAGTAATAGTAGTAGTGATAGTAGTAGTAATAGTAATAGTAATAGTAATAGTAGTAGTAGTAGTAGTAATAGTAGTAGTAGTAGTAATAGTAGTAGTAGTGGTAATAGTAATAGTAGTAGTAGTAATAGTAGTAGTAGTAATAGTAGTAGTAGTGGTAGTAATAATAGTAATAGTAGTAGTAATAGTAGTAGTAGTAATAGTAGTAGTAGTAGTAGTAGTAGTAGTAGTAGTAGTAGTAGTAGTAGTGGTAGTAGTAGTAGTAGTAATGGTAGTAGTAGTATATTTCCATACTTTATAATACTTTTGTGCCTGAGATCACAGCTTGTATTCTTGACTGGGTGGTTTTTCATCGAAAACGTATTGACA